CACCTCCGGTAGACCCCCTTCCGCCCCAGGGTCCTGCTCCCTCGGGAGTGTCTCAGGTAGACCCTCTCCTTGGTACTGCGCCTGTTCAGGTAGCTATCGTCTCAGGTGCTGCTCCAGGTGCTGCTCCAGGTGCTGCGTCAGGGGGTGCTGCGTCTGGGGGTGCTGCGTCTGGGGGTGCGGAGCCGGAGGGTGCGGGGTCTGAGGGTGCTGGGTCTTGGGGTGCTGAGCCTGAGGGTGTTGAGCCTGGGGGCGCTGAGTCGGAGGGTGCGGAGCCTGGGGGTGCTGAGTCGGAGGGTGCGGAGTCTGAGGGTGCTGAGCCTCGAGGTGCTGCTTCGTCTGGAGGTCCTGCTTGTGCTTCATCGCGACTGTCCTCGCAGCAGCTGCGTGAGTGGCTTGTTCAGCGCCCACACCGTCTGAGTGGACCTCCTGGGGCTGACAAGCCTGGAGACGCTGGAGCTGGAGGTGCTGCTGTTACTACTGGAGCTGGAGACCCTACGGAGCCTGGAGCAGCTGGCGCCGGAGGCGCTGGAGCTGGTGTAGCTGGAGTTGGAGGCCCTGGCGCAGGAGGCGCTGGAGCTGCAGGAGCTGGAGCTGTTGACCCTGGAGCTGGAGGTGCTGGAGGCACTGTGCGGCCGCGCCCGTACTTCGTTCCCCTGCTTCAGCAGGTTCTTGGTGTCCCGTCTTCTACTGGTCTTCCTCCTCCCTTCCTGTGTCCACCGCCTGACCAGTCGCAGCCGCCGTTACAGCCAGCCTCCCCACTGCTTGTTCCCTCTCCTTACACTGAGCAGACCGGCGGTCGTACAGAGCGTCGTGAGCTTGCGTCTCGTCCTGTCTCGCCTGTTCGCACTGCTCATCGCGCTCCTCGTTCGCGTCCTCCTCCTGTCCCAGGCACACACACCATGGCACTCCGTCCTTCCTCTGTTCCACTGCGTGTTCCTCTGCCTGCTCCTCCTGAGTCCTCTCTTTCTGAGGTCCCTAACCCTGAGTCTAACCGAGCGCGTGCTGCCAGTCCCACTGTCGCTCGTCTCCTTGCCACTGCTGTCACTGACCCGTCCTTCGAGTCTGCTGCTGCTTCTGCTCTCGTTGCTGAGCTACTTGACTTTGCTGCTGCCTGCCGTCTCGACTACGCCTCTGCTCTAGTTGCTGAGTCTGTGCCTGCCAGTCCTCCGTCTGTCGGGGGTGAGTGTGCTCTTGGCACGGACGTCCTTGAGGACAGGCAGGAGGACTTTGAGTGTCTTGCAGCTGCTGTACCTCGTTTCGCTTCCTTGCTGCTTGCCCCTGAGGGAGACCCGGATGCTCCAGACATCCCGACCCCGCGCTCTTACGCAGAGGCGATTACGGGTCCTTACTCCTCTCAGTGGCAGGCAGCTATGGATGCCGAGATGGCATCCTGGAAGTCCACGGGCACTTACGTCGACGAGGTTCCCCCACCTGGGGTGAACATAGTTGATGGTATGTGGATCTTCAGGGTGAAGCGGCCGCCGGGTTCTCCGCCGGCCTTCAAGGTGCGTTACGTTGCTCGAGGTTTCAGTTAGCGACAGGGAGTTGACTACTTCCAGACCTTCTCCCCCACCCCGAAGATGACTACTCTTCGGGTGTTGCTGCACGTAGCTGCTCAGCGTGACTACGAGTTACACTCCCTGGACTTCAGTACAGCCTTCCTGCAGGGCAGCCTGCACGAGGAGATCTGGCTGCGCCGACCACCTGGTTTCACTGGGTCGTTTCCTACAGGTACCCAGTGGAGCCTCCGCCGGCCAGTCTACGGTCTCCGCCAGGCGCCTCGCGACTGGCACGATACACTCAGGACTACACTTGCGGCTCTTGGGGTTGTTCCTTCTACAGCAGACCCGTCGTTGTTTCTACGCACCGACACCTCGCTGCCGCCCTTCTACGTCCTAGTGTACGTCGACGACCTCGTCTTTGCCACGGCTGACACTGAGGCACTGACCCTATTGAAGTCCGAGCTGCAGAAGAGACATACCTGTACTGACCTGGGTGAACTGCGCAGCTATCTTGGCCTGCAGATCACCCAGGACAGAGCACGGCGCACCATCACACTGACTCAGTCACACATGGTGCACCAGGTCCTTCAGCGCTTTGGCTTCCAGTACTCCTCGCCACAGCTCACTCCTCTGTCTACCAGCCAGTCGCTCTCAGCTCCACCTTCGGACGAGTCCGTAGAGCCGAGTGGTCCGTACCCAGAGCTTGTGGGTTGCCTCATGTACCTGATGACTTGCACACGACCTGACCTCGCGTACCCTCTCAGCCTTCTGGCTCGCTATGTGGCTCCCGGTAGGCACCGAAAGGTGCACTGGGATGCTGCAAAGAGGGTACTGTTTTACCTGTGCAGTACATCGGGCATGGGGCTTGTGCTTCGAGGACGGGGTCCAGTTGTCCTCACTGGTCATGCAGACGCCTCCTGGGTTGACGACTCAGCTACGCAGCGGTCGTCGCAGGGTTACACCTTCAGCCTTGGGTCCGGCTCGGTTTCTTGGCGGTCTACCCGCTCGTCTTCAGTTCTCAGCTCCAGCTGTGAGGCTGAGATCTACGCCGGAGCCATGGCTGCTCAGGAGCTACGCTGGCTCACCTACTTGCTGACCGACCTGGGAGAGCAGCCTCGTTCGCCTCCAGTCCTGTACGTAGACAACAAGGCCATGATAGCCTTGTGTCAGGAGCACAGACTGGAGCACAGAACGAAGCACATCGCTCTGCGATACGTCCTTGCTCGAGAGTTGCAGCAGCGTGGTCAGCTTCGTCTAGCGTACGTGGCCACTCGGGCCAACACTGCTTATGTCTTCACCAAGGCACTTCCGCCTGGTGACCATAAGCGCTTTGTTACTGTGTTAGGCCTTGTGCCTACTTTGCCTCACTTACTTACTGCCTGACTCTGCTAATACTGTGATCTATCTATATACCTACATGCTCGCACTTGTTAGGGTATGATCACTGTATTGTTTGTTCTCTTTATTTAACTCTGCATGTGAACTGACCTTGTGGCCCTTTGCTTGTGCTCGGACTGTGTGGTGACTTTGTGATCCACCCTGAGATTGCTTTGCTTTGCTTCTTCTCTTGACTGGTCTTGTGACCATTGCTTGTTCTGGCTATCCCCCACTTCGCCTATGGGGGTGTGTCAAACATATATGCTTAGTTATATCTAGGCTTAGTTCATATGTTTATAGTTGTCTAGGCTATAGTGGGTTTAGCCTTAGGGGGTACAGATTTCTCTCGACATTCTACTTGTACCCCTTCCCTTTTCCTAGTCAACCATTCTCGCCTACTATTCTCATAGAAGGGTCTCAAAACTACCCTCCACAAGGGCCTACACCAAGAGAAATGTTACACTACAAAAAGTAATGCAACTTTCCTCACTATCTCAAAGTTTACCCTTTTGGAGAGCTTTGAAATCACTTGATTCTTGAAACCAAGGCTCTGGTTCTTCAAGATAAATTCTTCCTTGAGTTCTTGGAAGTCTGCTGCGCACACCTGCGACACGCCGAACGCTCCACACACGACAAAATAGAAAACCGCACACGACACGCAAACGACGACGTGACACGCGACTAGCAAGAACTCGCTATTGACTCCACACACACATTCAAAATCACGCCTCATCATTCACACATTATTGTAAGCATGAAATATATATTATTTCATGCCCTCATACCATTCCATGCACACACGCATGCACGCACACGGACAACAAGCCGAATGCAAACCGTAGGGTTTCACCAACACTCGGGAAACAGGTAGGGCAGTATAAGGCGGCCGAGAGCAGCAGTGGCAGGGGAAGAGTAATGAGCGACTACAGCGTCGTACAGGGCTTTAGCAGTCTTGTGCTGGCCAAAGTGAGCGCGTTCGGCTAACGGCAGGTGGTTGCGAACGGCTATGCTAGCAGCAGCGTCACGGGTAAGCCACTGTGAGCGAGTCGCACTGTCAGCTGTGGCGGGAGGGGCGAGAGAGGCTCCAGACGTGTGGTCAAACAACGAAACGCAGTCTCTGGAATCGCTTAGAAGGTACAGTTGTAAGTCGTCGAGCCACATATCGAACTGGATCGGACGGCCCTCATGATCGAAGGTAAGTACACTAAGAGAAGCCATAGTGGGAAGAGCAGGGTGGCGCACGACCAGCAGGGCAGCACGCAGGCAGGGCGGCGCGCGAGCACTAGGGAAGCGCGCAGGGTAGGGAGAGGCGGCGCACGGCTAGGGAAGAGTGGCGCGCGGCTAGGGCAGGGCAGGGCGGCAGCCAGCAGGGCGGTGCATGGGCATGGCAGGGCGGTGCGGCTGCCAACAGGGCAGCAGGGCGTCGGCCAGCAGGGCGGGCAGCAGCAGGGTGGCGCGCAGCAGGGCGGCTCAGCGCGGGCAGGGCAGGGCGACGCAACTAGTGGGGCAGCGCTATGTGGTGGGCCCTAAAAAAAACGGTCTTGGAACAGGACCTGCTCTGAAACCATGTTAGAATACTGAACGAGAATGAATGCATTGAACAGAAAGTTGGTACAAGTACTAACCCTAATTGGGTTGTACCCCTTGTGGGCTACCCCACTACAGCCTACACAATGTAAGCATTATAACATTTTGACAGAAAAGTCTATGTGTAGCCATCATTGCAGAAGAAATTTTGGAGTAGAAATAGGAAGAGGTGCTGCACTGCACACACACAGAAGCACAGGCTCTACACATGAGCAGGACAGTATGTGCAGCAGCATGACAGTGTGCTAATTGAATCCACACCACTGCAATGCGGTTTTACAGCAAACCCCTTCAACGATGGCCAATAATTGAGGCATTAAAGGCCTACTTGAAGTATTGAGTTATTCTACGTTAGTCCAGATGAAGCTGTATATACGGTACTCTTATCCAGTTCACTAGACCATGAGATACCCTCGCGTCCCAAGCTGCATGTCATGAAGAGTTATAATGAGGGTGAGCGAGACAATGAGGGTGATCCCTTGACCCTATCTCTTCTCCACTTCTTACTTGTAACACCACTCAGACCTTCGGCTATCACAAGAGTGACTCCTGATTCGCTATCAGCACGAGCAGCCCCTGCTGGCCCAACAAGATCTCGTTAAGGAAGCTTATCAATGCAAGCCACACAATGGGAGCGATGTCGACCCCCCCAATGGGCTGGATGAGGGCTCTGGTGATGCGGAGAATGGGTTCCGTGGGTGCATAGGCGATGATGAAGGGGAACTCCGACACTGGGAGCTGCAAGAAGGGAGAAAAGTAGACGGAGAAACGGACGGGGCAGGAGGGGGAATGGAGAAGGGGGGAGGGTGTGGAGGAGAGGTTGATCGCACACACAGCAGATGGGTTAGATGTCAACACTGGGAGCTGGAGGAGGGGCGAGGGGGGTGGGGGGATGGGGGAGGGGAGAGGGGGGAAGGACGAGAGCGGGATGAAGAGCTGGAGAAGAGGGGGGGGGGGGGGCAGAAGAAAGGCGGATCACAGACACTGATGTTGCCGCCACCAAGGCAGGTTCATGCGGCGGGTGATTGCTGTGGCGCCTAGAAAACCGTCCCACTTCAGCGAATGATAGCTGGAGGGATGGAAGCACAACAGGACGGGAGCTGGTGACACACGGGCGAGGATGGCGAAGCGAGAGAGGAGGGGGGAGGGGGGCGTGATGGAAAGGACAAAGGGGCGAATGGATGACCGCTGGTCCACTGGAGGGAAGCACAACAGGACGGGACCTGGTGACACACGGGCGAGGATGGCGAAGCGAGAGAGGAGGAGGAGGAGCAGTGTGGTGGACGTGACAGGGGGAACGAGGAAAGGGGAAGCATGAAGTGCAGGATAGGTTTGGCATGCGCGCAGGCGATGAAAGATGTAAAATGGGGGCAATGGGAAAGGGGGGCAATGGGAAAGGGGGGCAATGGGAAAGGGGGATAATGGGAAAGGGGGGCAATGGGAAAGGGGGATAATGGGAAAGGGGGGCAATGGGAAAGGGGGATAATGAGGTGCAAGATCTGCTTGGGGCGCAGGTGATGGAAAAGGAGGACTCGGGTTCTGGGAACGGATGGAGGTGGGGTAGGGGAGGGAGTGGGGGAGGGAGAGAGGAAGGAATGGGAGAGAATGGGGTGGCGGAAGGCGATAAAACGACTCGCGCATGATAGGTGACTTTTGAGTCGACTCGACGTAGCTTTTGAATCGACTCAAAAGTCACCTCGAGAGAATGGGGTGGCGGAAGGCGGTAAAACGAGGCGCGCATGATAGGTTCTGTTGGTGCGTAGGCAGGCAATGGTGAAGGCGGGACACTCAGAGCAAATGATATTGCCACAGTGTACTCATTACATTCCTTCACTCATATTTTTATATACATGTATATATTATATATATGTATATAGATTATAAGCACTGGTCATTCCACTGATAAACTTTTAACCCAGCCAGCTGTCACACACGGCGCTGCCAGGCAACACCATGACACCAGCAGCATGACGTCACCATGAGTTCACCGTGCAGCACGATGACGTCATCACCACACCCACCCGCTCACACCTAGAGTCACACCTACCGTGACACCATCCCCTCCTTACACACACACCTGCGGGTACCACGACATAACGATGCGGAGGATGAAGAGGAAGTTAAGCGCCGCGAAAAGCGGGCCCAACACGGCACCCACTGCTGACGCCGCATCCGGCGAAATCTCCGCGATCACCGCCGCGTTTTGCGCTACCGACGCAACGCCCTCGAGTGATACCGCAGAAGCCGACGGTTGCGTGAGGAAAAGAGAAGCAGAGAAAACGGCGGCGGCAGTGGCGGCGGTAATGAGAGAACGGGGATTGGACGGCGCTCGCTGGCTATGCAATGCTGACCGAGCGTCGTATTCGTTCGCTTCGCTTGCGACATCACGATGCCGTTGGATCGGTGATTGGACGGTCAGCGCTTTGCCTGACAGCCCTTGACGTCGCGATGGCGAAGAGAGGGTAACAGATTCCGAACCTTTCGCGAAGAATGGAACTCGTAGGGGCGGTTGTCGAACAAAAGACCTTTGAGTCGACTGAGGCGATAGCTGAACCGCCGCACGATAGTGTAACGTTGATAGAGAGAGCACGCGAGCTGCAGACGCCATCTTTTTCTAAGAAAACAAAACCAGAGCGCTACAGAAATGGGCTGAGTGCATGTGTGGCGGCCACAGGCTGGGAAGCTGCTGGTAGTGGTGTGCTTTGAGATGGTATCCTGGAGTTCTCATCTCCACGACACCCCTGATCGGTAGCGCCCCTAAGCGGAGTAAGTGAGCTTCGAGGGAGTTCACTAACTCCCGCTTCGCACGTGTTGCGGAAGTTTACTCACTCCGACGTGGCTTAATCCGAGCAAGCCAAAATGAGCAAACGATCGCTCTAAACCCTACTCGGAGTACGACTCGAAGTGGCCCTTCAGGAAGTTTCATTCACGGGCAAACTTAGCTCCGCGGAGGAACTCCGCGCACTCCAGCATTTTGGGAGAGTAAGCCTCGCCTACTCGGAGTAAGGCCTGGTAGGGTGAACCCAAAAGAACCGCATATTTTGTGTTAACAGCGTTAACCTCCTCAAACACCTTCAAATCTTCCTATTGGTGTCTTTTTGTGGACCATTTACCCCTTTGTGAGAAAATATTTTCTTGGGGACGAGTGGGGCAGTATGGGCAGAACGCAACATGGCTTTGAACGAGATCGCGCTCACGACCCTCGCAACTTCCCTACGCGGAGTTTCGAGGGCGTGCCGATCACCCCTCGGAGTTGGGAAACTTAGCGGAGGAGATTGGAAGCACCCACCGACACGTGCCCACACGTGTGGGTCGGTGTACTCCTGTTCGAGTGCTAACGCCACAGAAGTTTACTTTCGGCTTAGGGGCTACTGATCAGGGCTTTCTGTAGGCTCGCGGATGGCGAGGTGGTCACGAAGCCAGGAAGGAAGGTGCGGTTTAGGTTTGGGGGCTCGCCCCAAACGGAAATTTCGGCTGCGGATCAGGAAGGGGGGTGAGGGGATCGAGCACCCCCCTCCCGCCTTTCCTGGTGACTCGAGTTTTTTTTTGCCGACCCCTGCAACAAGCAACCCAGAACAAAAGAAATGAACCCAGGGTGAAGAGTGGAAGAACAGCGTTTATTAAGGACCATACACAGCTTTCACTCAGGGGGCGGAAATTTGATTTATCTCACGGGCGTTTACCCTAAGGGCAAATCCCTCGTCCATGCCATGGCAAAACACCTCTAAGGGTGGTATGTGTAACGAATAGTAAAATGAGAAACAATGTGCACTCCTATCAGTAGCAAGCGAGGAACGCAATGAAGGGTACGGAGGCAAAAAGTCAGAATGACATGAAGAGTCACGTACGGTTAAGAAGCATCTGGACCGTCGGAGCTGAAGCATCGGGCAGCTGCAGTGGCAAAGATTATGGCGGGAATAGGCTCGTAACCGTCTGGAGTCGCACGGTTGGATTTTGCTGCAATCAGAGAAGGTACCCCTCCAGTCTAGGTCGTTTCGTATTCCCATGTACTCTTATATAAACAAATGTATTTGCATGTTTTCATTATCTCAGTCATTTTATATTCACTCTGACCTGGGGTCAATTCCTCCGCTGCAACATGCGGAGATTCACCCTACAACGGTGGGAGCTATACTACGGGGTTGGCACGAATTCTAGGAGTGATCGTAGCGTTCCTTAGTGTTCTCTAGCACTTGTGCTTTCACAGCAATTTGGCAAGATTTCCCTAGGGAAAATTGCATTACATAATTATTGCAATAGCAATAGCAAGAATGACTACATCAGAGCCTAGCAACCTAGTAGCCAGGCAGGTCGACCGCCAGCACAACATGGTCGACCGCCTGCCAGCGTTGCGTAGAGGAGCCGCGCCAGCGCTGCAGAAAGGTGGCCTACCAACAGAGGAGGTCGACGGCGTGCCAAAGCTACAGCAGGGCGGCCGTCCAGCGTTGCAGAACAAATGACAGCAATGCACACGCGCGCACCTACTTTGCAGGTGCCAGCAAACTGTTGGCCAGGCATGCACCGTCACGTGTCCGTCGGCTGTTGTATGCGCCTGATCAGCCACATCGACCTCGGGATACCAGCCCGAGGTCGCCTTTGCCATCGCAGCCTTGGCGACGTTCGCGTGCCTCCGCAGAACCTCGTCGAGAAGGTTACTTGGTCGACCGGGTCGACCACCACCTGGTGCCCTCGTCGACGACCTCCCTCGTCGACCACTGCTTCCGTCAAAGAACACCCTGGTCGGCGGACCCCTCCGTCGACCAACACGGTCAGCTGCTGTCGTCGAACTCCCACTGTCAACAGCCCCTTCGACAGCCTTACGCATGTTGGTGATCGCCTTCGTCGACCACACCCAAGGCAGGTCGACGAACCCCTTCGTCAACCACGCCCGTCGAAATCGAGCGCCGGCTCTCGTCGACGGCGGCATCGCAGGGGGCGGTCGCAGGTCGACCACCCTATCGACCTGCACTTCCAGCCCTTCGTCGACCTCTGCAGAACAGTCCGCTGCACCTACCGCGCACCCGACCACGAAGTCGGCTTCGCCCAAGCGAGGGCGGGGCCAACTCCCTATTCCCGTTAACACAAAACCCACTGCGAACCTTCCTGATGTGGTCCTAGGTACGATCAAATTTCTGATCGCAACATGGTATGAGAGCGATTCAGGAATCCTTCACACTGCCACTCCAAAAAAATTCGGCGAACTAAGGTCCGACACATGCTCACGCGTAAGGATGGCCGGAGGATCTGGAGGTCAGACAAATCTGACCGCTGAAGCACAGACCAACCCGGCTGCAACAAACGAGGAGACGACGACGATCAGTTCCGTCGCACTCGAACAACCGTATTTGCAACTTTCGACTTCAAAGCAAGGGCTCCAGACATGGCAAAATGGCGATGCGGGAAACTCTTCCCAACCCTCTCAACCAGCCACGAATGGCCGCAATACCACCCCGCACACCTTCTCCCTCGTCGCAAGCTCCCCCATCCCAGCAATTAGGCAATTCTCTCAGCTCAATCAAGGTATTTAAGCATATATAATGTCAGAATAGTAAAGAACGGAATGACTGAATTAGCAAGAAGGTGGGTACAAGTAGGAAACCTAAAAGTGTTGTACCCTATATGAACTACCCCACTACAGCCTAGACAGACTATAGCATATAAGTTTGACACACCCCCATAGGCAAAGTGGGGGAGAATAAGATGTCACAAGACCGGTCAAGAAAGGCAAAGCAAGCTCA